GAGGACAGCATTATATCAGGGTAGAGGTGTATGTAAGAGCTAGTATGATGATGAGGGACCTGATTACCTAGAATAGAACATCTCTCCCTATACATTATCTTCACTGAGGAGGTGCTTCTACAACAGGCCCTAAAATGTGCTCTCATGAGGATTTTAGGCTGGACATTTCAATGGAAGGGGGTGGAAGTGTATGCGTCCCAGACTACAGAACTTGCTTCTTCAGGTAGTCAGAGCTTAATCCATCAGTCAAGCCATTGCCCACTCTAAGGTGTGACTTGATTTTTCTGTTTACAAAGACATTAAATGAAAGTATGTGCCTGGAGGCCAGAATGTCACTGTGCTTGTTTTTTAAGTGTGCTCAGATGATGCCACAGTGCTGGGGTACACTAAAATTGAATAATACAATGGTTTCCATATTGGAGACATTTTAAAACATCCTACATTCTGAGCAGCATTGGTATCATATTTCACCCAGCTATTTTCTGCTGGCTCCTTGACTTGTCAGCTACAATGTGGAAAATAGTGGTGGCAAACAAGCTAAAAGTGGTGTGAATAAAGTAAATAAGAACTACTGTCAAAACACATCCAGCTACATTCTGTTGTGGAAATTTAGCAACAGACGATGATTCATAAACTAAAATAGCATAGGATGCTTTTTTCCATTTACAGATCAGTCTGGAACAAAAGATCTATTTATGAGATTTAAGCCAAATGCACTACAACATAATGACTGTCTCCTCAATGGCTAATCTTTATTCATGTAAAGTGGTGGATCTGTCTTGATTTCAATATTTTTCAATAGGGTATTTTATTCAAACAATTTTATTGAGTCGCACCTTATTTTGTATACAAAAGGTGAAGTGATTATGTGAGATCGTTTCCTAATTTGTTCTTCCTGCAGGGAAAAGTAAGCAAGTAGATGGTAGATTGTGCAGAACTGGGAAACACTGCAACCCAGTCACTTCCCACATTAAAAAGCCACAGTTCAGTAAATTGCTCAATTGGATGGAATTGGTGAGAGGTAATACATCAGAAGCCAAAGTGATTTCAACGTGTTAGGTCAATGCTTAGTTAGGTTTTGTCCTCTTCCACAGAAAGGATCTTGAATAATCAATAATCCAGCTGCAATTGCAATGGCAACACAAACCCTAACTTTTTGTGACTATAACCTGATGCTAACGGCTGCCCAAACAACAGGGTAATTTGCTGAAAGTCTTACCTCCTTGTGATCAACCCATTCTATCAAATATTTGCTTAGCTGTATCCTTCAGCCAGCCAAAGTATGTCACAGATAAGACTAAACTGTTTAGATCTGCAAACTTAAGTGCAGACAGAGAAATAATACAAAGGGATCTACAGAAGTTAGGTTGTAGAAAGGAAATAACAAAACAAAAGTCAACCAGGAAGGAAAAACCTGAAAACTGTCATGCCAAGAGAGATCATGTGGCGACTGTAGCCAGATATATGCTATGACTGCACAGACATCAATAGCACGTGTGTCATTTGATATGGCAGCAAAGAAAGATAATGTAGTTTTGGACTGAATAACCAAAGCCTGGGCAGGTAATAGCCACTCTCTAAAAGGTAGCTGTCATACTGAACCTGTAGTGGGGTATTTGGTATTGGGCATTGGGCATTTCAAAACCAAAAAGGCATCGACAGATTAGCCCATGTGGATACAAAAGGTGCACAAGTTACTGTGTGAAAGAACATCCTTGAAACCATGAACATTCCCCTCAGGCTTTTCTGTGCTTTACAGTCCAGTGGATCCTTCATGAAGGCTCTTCTCTTCCACAGAGGATAGGGTGATCTCTGTCATATCAGATAGACAAGCCATTGGTTCTTTTTGGTACTTCAATAAAGTATCTACAGGTCCCCCTCCCCCCTTTTTTTTAAAGTCTCTGATCCTAATTAGCTCTCACAGCACTGAACAGATTTGATGTAACCTCCTGTTTAACAGACTATAGGACATTCCTGAATTAAGTCCTGTTTAAACTAAAGTATATATTTTAGAAAAAAACATCCAATCTTGACTTAAAAATTGCCAGTGACAGAAAATCAACCTCTGGAACAATTTAGCAAGGATTGTGATGAATTCCCTCCATGATTAAAAAACTGTGCTTTATTTCCATTCTAAATTTGTCTAGTTTCAACTTTTTATACCTTTGTCTGCTAGACTGAAGCTCCCATTATCAATACAGTAAAAGCTGTGTTATCCGGGACTTTACCAACTGTAAAGCTCTAGAAACCGGCATTTCTGATATCTCCATTAAAAATCTGGTTGGGGCGGGGCCGGCGGGCTCCCTACCTGGTTCTGCGTGGCTCCCTAGAAACTGCAACATGTCCCTGCTGCTCCTAGGCGAAGGAACTGCCATGGGGGCTCCGTGCTCTGCCCCCGCCCCAAGCGCTGGCTCTGCAGCTCCCACTGGCTGGGAACTGCAGCCAATGGGAGCTGCCAGGGTGGTGCCTGCATGCGGAGGCAGTGTGCAGAGCCGCCTGGCTGCACCTCCGCCTAGGAGCAGCAGAGATATGTCGCTGCTTCCGGGGAGCCGCCCGAGGTGAGCGCCGCCCGGATCCGGCACCCCGAAACCCCTCCCGTGCCCCAACCCTTGCTAAGCCCCCCCCTACCCCCCACCCAAACTCTTTATTCTTCATTACCATTCAACAGGGTAAAGACACTATTCCACCTGCTGGAAGCAGGAACAGCAGGGCGACTGCAGGTGGTGAGCCTCTCTGATAACAAAAAATTTAAGCTATATGCTGCCCTGCATAGCACGGCAATATTGGGAGCAAAACTCTTCAAGTGGTGGTGTGGGAGGGGAGGGGGGGAAGAACATGTTTCTATGGAGATATACCCTTTTCCCCCACAAAGCTTCCTCTGATTCTGAAATAATATCTGTGTCGCTCAAACGATAGCCATAAGTTGAGGGGGAGGATGAGCTCCGGAACAGCCATTCTTGTCCTTCCTCACCATTTAGACTGGATTCTATGTTTTAAAAGAATATTATCAATAACTAATCCCATGGCTCTATGATCCCCCCTGGAGCAGAACACAGGCTCTGGCTTACAGCCAGTGGCATCACTGCTGGAAGATGTGTGGGCTGCCATTGCTGGATAGGGTAGACCTTTAACAGGTGCAGACAGAGGGAAACGCTCTGTATTTCTGGTTGATGCCTCATTCAGCATAGCAGATGAAAAGATGTGGTTTAACAACAGCCCATAAACAGCCATAGGTTGTTATTGAATTAATATCTTCCCCTCTGTGCAGGAGCGGCTCCAGGCACCAGCGCAGCAAGCGCGTGCCTGGGGCGGCAAGCCGTGGGGGGCAGCCTGCCGGTCGCTGTGAGGGCAGCAGTCAGGCTGCCTTCGGCGACATGCCTGCGGGAGGTCTGCCGGTCCCGAGGATTCGGCAGCAATTCGGCGGCGGGGATGCTGAAGGCGTGGCACCGGCGGACCTCCCGCAGGCATGCCGCCGAATCGGCATGACCAGCGGACCGCCCACAGGCGCGCCACCGAAAGCCGCCTGACTGCCGTGCTTGGGGCGGCAAAACCCATAGAGCCGCCCCTGCCTCTGTGCATGTCTCAGGTACTCTGCCTCCAGCTGCTGGTTGGATGAACTACACCTAAGGGTCTGGATATAAAGAGAACTTCCAGAAGCACTGACTATGGAAAGGCACAAACAACTGAGGCAATTATAATGAATTAAGCTAGTACAGCGGTTCACAAACTGTGGATTGTGACCCCATTTTAATGGGTTTGCCAGGGCTGGTGTTAAGACGTGCTGCGGCCCAGGACTGAAGCCGAATCCCGACCTGCACTGGGCAGGGTCAAAGGAAGCCCAAGGGCTTTGTCCCTGGGCGGTGGGGCTCAGGTTACAGGCTCCCCCACTGGGGGCTGAAGCCCTTGGGCTTTGGCCCCCTCCCGCCTAGGGTGGCAGGGCTTGGGCTTTGGCCCCCTCCCGCCTAGGGTGGCAGGGCTTGGATGGGTTCAGGCTTTGGTCCCCCTCCTGGGGTCACATAATAATTTTTGTTGTCAGAAGAGGTTGCGGTGCAATGAAATTTGAGAACCCCTGATCTAGTAGTAATCACAGTATTTTCCTTTATAGACTTGTAACCTCTGGCTGAGAACAGTGAGAGCAGATGATGTAGCCTGAATGGTCCTCTCCAAACCAGAATCAGCATAAATTATGGAAGTCCACCCAGGGCACCCAATTGGTACACAGTTGAAGCATTTTTTGCAGATACTGAGAACACTGGAAGAGAAGGACAATAGCGACACACCTGGCCAAATTCTTCCATGGTGTAACTCTGTTGTCTCAAGTGGAGTTAGATTTCACTAAGTAAAGCAAACCATTGAATCAGAGCCCTCAGTATTACCGGACTTTTCTTATGTATCTCATATTGTCCTCCCTTCTGAAGGATACAGTCCTAATTTCATGGCTTAAAAACAACATTCTATTCTTGAACATTTCAAAATACTCTTGCAAGTGGACTGCGCACTAAAAGGACTTCAGATTGTACATCACAAAGTTAATAATGATAGCTATAATGTTTATGTACCCTCAGAATTTATTTAAGTATTATAATTGATATTCTGGTGTCTGATATTTAACTCTAGGAAAAGATTTAGGCTAAATATTTGGCTAAATATTTTTTGTTATAAATGGAAACACAACAGAACGCTTTTAGCGAGAAAAATTGCTGACAGCACTAAGCTGTCACCATAACCTGCAAATCCATTGATGAACGTACAATCCCGCTTTTCAGAGAAGCCAGGGTGCAACAGACAGTCGCTCATGAGACACTTGTCAGACATACAATGGTGATCCAGGAGGACATGTACTAAAAACAAAATTAAAAAGCCCACTACATCCTCTCATCTAATCTCAGAAATAAAAACAAGTGTCAAGACTTTTGACGACAATCCTTGCATATCCAGAGTATATCTACTGTCTAATAATTACTTTCTTTAACGCTGGTTCTGTACCTATATACCCTTACCTTACTGCAGCAGCCATGCTTCCAATAGGGTTGATTGGCAATGGCCTAACTCCTGGGAACATTCCTCTACTCAGAACACGAGCTCCATTTTGTATCACTCCAGGGGGAACTAAAAGAAAATTTTTAAACATTTAGAAAAAATTTTAAGCAGCACTTTTGATGTTAAGCTCTTCAAAATAAATTTAGACAATGTTAAATAAGAATGTCTAATACACCGCTCACCTTTAAAATCTTCATAAAAACCTTTGTTCATAGTTAACATTAAAGTGCTATTCACATTATTCTATATGCTAAGTAAAGATTGCAAAATATTTAATTTAACTTGGTTCATAGAGGTCACCCTCAAATTTTTTAATTGCCATAGACAATTCCTTACACAACATCCTACAGTAAACATAGGAAAATTTAGGTAACATTGCAATTACAGAGGTAAAATTTATCTAAGGCAAAAATGGCAAATACTTTAGGAAGAACATATTATAGCCAAAATACAAGCCATATTATAAGCCATTATATCCGTAAGTCATAACTTTTTATCATTGTACACTATTTGTTCAGTGATCTTCCATCTTCGTTGGGTCCTATCCTATTCAAGAAAAGACTAGGACACGTCATTATACAATGCTGACTATTTGGACCACAAAGTTTTTTTGGATTTTTAGGGATTTGTAATTCAGCTGTATTCCAGACTGTGGCTCTGGCCCACAAGGTTTTGTACTAGAAGTAAGTACTTTTCGTCACACTTGCGTGACATCTACCATTGCTATTCCGAAGTAAAATGAGAGAGGAAGGATTTCAGGGATATATTTTTGCATTCTATTTGGCTTATATCAGGAACAAATCACAACAGCTGCAACACTTCCTCAGCTGTTCTGACCAGAAGAATATTTGAAATGACAGAACTAAGGGCTTGTCTACACTGGCACTTTACAGCGCTGCAACTTGCTCGCTCAGGGGTGTGAAAAAGCACCTCCCTGAGAGCTGCAAGTTTCAGCGCTGCAAAGTGCCAGTGTAGACAGTGTACAGCACTGGGAGGTGTATCCCTATTTAGCCCTGATTTTTCCTTTTCTCATCGATTTTCCTTTAAGAAGTCATTTTTCCATTATCCTCGCAAAGCTGTGAATGAACTCATGCCATTATTATTATTGTGCATGTCCTATAACTGCTTTTTTATTTTTAGAGACTTTTTATTTTATTCTAATTGAAGGGAGACTGGCAATCTAAAAATAAAATACTCTTTTAAAAGAAACTTTTATTACTATTGCCAGCATATGTCAACATTTTCAGAAGTGGATGCCTAAAGTTAGGCACCTAAATATATACTTAGGCACTTCAACTAAAGTGACCTGATTTTCTTATGTACTGAGCATTAACTGTTCCTATTGACTTCAAGCTATGGTCCTATCCCATCTTGATTACCACCTCCTCCTAAATGGCATCCTGATGCTCACCTTGCTTCAACTCCAAACTACCGAATACTGCTGTGAAAATAATCTTTTCCCTTCTGTTTAGAGCATGCTAATCCCTAATCAAATCCTGTCACTGGCTTCTACCCACCTTCGGTTTTTAGCACTTCTGGACAACAGGTCACTTATATTTACATGTCCAAATATAGCTTTCGGTGACTAACTTTAGGCTGAAGTTTGGAAGTTGACTTTCAGTTATTATAACTGAAATAATTAAGTTACTTTTTGCTATTTATACTGTTCTACTTTTCGCACTTTCCACCCCAACACTGGAAAATCAATGAAGTCAGTTTCACTGCAAAATCGTTTTCACTTCCAGATTCTCAGTGCTCTAACGTTTAGGTTGCAAACGCTGCAATGGAATGTTTACTTGCTTAAAACAACTGTTGGGATTTTACAAAAGCAAGCTTGCTTTTACAAAATGTAAAATTTGGACCAAATCTGTGTAAACAGTGCCTATTTAAAGGGGCATGAATATCAGTGAAGTACAATATACGTAAGTAATATAAGACTAGTAGAGTAAAGCTCAAGGAAAATTCAGATATAAGATTAGGAAAAAACCCAAAAGAGCAACATAGCCTGAAGGAACAGATAAAACTGTCACATATCAACATGGCTTTTCAACAAGGAGTATGGATACACAGTATAGGAGAGGGGTATATATTATGTGGTACAGTTTTTTTAAATGCAAAGTCCCCTTCACTTCAGAGCAATAAGTTCTATCGTATCAACAATCCTTGGAACGAAGCTTCCCAAGGACAACAGCCTCAAGGGATATGGAGGAATTTGTGATTTATGTTAATGAGTTACAAGTGTTGCCTAAGAACTTCATGAAACTTCAAGGCCAACATACTGGCAATTCAAATAAAACAAGAGGAAAAAAATCAGCACCCAACTCTTCCTTCCTTGCTCCACCTCTGTTCGGATCTGAAAGCTCAGGGTACGTCTATACTTACCTCCGGGTCCGGCGGTAAGCAATCGATCTTCTGGGATCGATTTATCGCGTCTTGTCTACACGCGATAAATCGATCCCGGAAGTGCTCACCGTCGACGCCGGTACTCCTGCTCTGCGAGAGGAGTACGTGGAGTCGACGGGGGAGCCTGCCTGCCGCGTGTGGACCCGCGGTAAGTTCGAACTAAGATAGTTCGACTTCAGCTACGTGAATAACGTAGCTGAAGTTGCGTATCTTAGTTCGAAGTGGGGGGTTAGTGTGGACCAGCCCTCAGTGTCATTTGACTCCTCTCACTCCTTTCCTTTACCTATCCCCTCATATCCAGCCCACTGAAAAACCCAGTTTCTGTCTTTACATCCTTGAAAATCAGTCAATTCCTCTCCAGTTGTATGGTCCTTGGTCCTCTCCCACTTTGACTATTCCAAGCTCTTTTGTTGCCCAGTTCTCATCTTGCTCCACTGCAGGCCATACAAAATAATGCTATGAAGAGCTTTTTTTCTTCTCCTGCCTCTTAGATTGTAAGTCTCCTAATCAAATCCTTTCAATAGCTTCTACTCCCCTTCTGCATCAAGCTCAAGACTCTGTCTCTCAGATAGTAGGTTCTGCCTAACCCAACCTCTACTTACATTTCTGCTCTCATGAGTATCTTCCCCCCCCCCAACTCTTCATACCTTCCTCTTAATTGCTCTCTTCATATCTATACCCCTTCTCATCTGACCGCCTTCTATGCTGACCATTTGTAACAGTGTGACATAACCCCACTGCCAGTCAGCCCTCCCTTTACACACATCCTTTTCATGCAGCCTTTCAACAAGAGAAAGTTTGTAAAACCCATTTAGAAACATGAAAGATGCAAAATAAAATCCTGCTATCCTTTGAGAAATGTCACCCCGAGGAGCAATATTGCTCTCTCTTTAGTCACGGCTGCCTGTTCGCAGCCCATTTCCTTCCCTAGCACTGCCAGTTTTGTTACGCTTGGGTTTAATTAAGCATCTGATCCTGAAAAGTCTTCAGTGGGACTACTTGCCTGGGTATGGAGAAGATCCAGGGACCTTATCTTTAATTTAAAATATGCAGTAGCTGTTATACTGAAAACATCATCATTCCAAATTCAATCATCATTTTACTTCAGCTTACATTAATTATGTCATTGCTGCCAACGCCTTTGTTTCACAATACTTTCTGAATTGTCATGTAGCAGCATCACTACCTAACTGGCCAGGTGATATCAACATACAAGATACCTGAAAGATTGGGTGGAACAGAGCAATAGGGACTGGGGGGGGGGGGGGGGGGGGGGGGGGGAGAGAGGAGAGAGAGAATAGGAAGCAAGAATGAGCCAAAGCCATAATAAAAACACATATTTTTACTGGTTAAATTGGTCTTAATGGATTTCTGAGCCTCTGATAAAAAAAAAAAACAGAATGGCAACCATCTAATGGAAGAAGTTCTTGATTGATAGGTAATCCATTCAGCTCATATGCTAGGCTTGTTTCCTGTAGCATTGTAACAGGGTGCTGGCCAGGAGGTCCTGAGCCAGGCCCGTTAGCCCAGCTCCAATTAAGAAGTATTAATTGGGGCTGGCTGAGTATGTCACGCCTAATAGCTAGAAGAAAGCACCTGCGGGCCTTATTAGCTAGGGGGCTATATAAGGCTGGCAGGAAGGAAGTGAAGGGGGAGAAGGAAAGGGGGGTAAGAGAAAGGAGAGGGAGGAGCCAAAAGGCTGTGTATCCCTGCTGGCTGGAGAAGCTAGCTGTCCTCCAGGTTGCTGGTTTGGAGCAGACTGTAAATAGAAGGTGGTAGGAGCTGACACTGAAAATAAAAAGCACTGGTGATTGCACTCAGAAGGGGTCTCTGGCTGATTTGTTGCGAGGGCGAGTGAAGGCCTTATTACAAGCATACACCTCTACCTCGATATAACGCTGTCCTCGGGAGCCAAAAAGACTTACTGCGTTATAGGTGAAACCGTGTTATATCGAACTTGCTTTGATCCGCTGGAGTGCGCAGTCCTGCCCCCCTGGAGTGCTGCTTTACCGCGTTATATCCGAATTCATGTTATATCAGGGTAGAGGTGTACTTGCTCTTATCTTATTTTAAAGATCCTGTTATTAAAGTAACATTTCACACAGCACCAATACTCTTATTTCCAATACCAAAGTAACACGCCAAAAATATTTTAAAATGGAATGATTCACATTTGAAAACAAAGTCCAATAGTTTGAAAATTCAGAATTGCTCTGCCCGAACTTCAGTAATTCAGGCATTGTTCTCTTACTTAGATGGCTCACAACCTGGTCCTTAATACCCAATGCACAAGGGAGAAGGAGGGCACAAGGACCCCTTTACAAACTCCATCCTGATTGCCCGCATTATGCGAGGGTGAGGACAGCAGGAACACCACCCCACTCCCTGGGCTGATGGGTGGGGTCTGAGTGGGAGTTTCCCCCAACCCTAGCCAATATGCTGTCCAGCACAGCTGCACGGAGGAAGTGTCAGGTATAGGATACTTCCACCCCAAGGATGAGGAACCAGGAAGCAGAGTGCGACTGAGTGGGACTGCTCGCAGAGCAACAATTGAGCCATAGTAAAAATAAGACACTGTATTTACGTGGTATCTTGTATGTAAGGACCTACTTGTTCTTTACAAATATTAATTGATTAAGAGTAAAGGCATTCCCTCCGCCGCCCCC